TTACATCAAAAGATGAGGGTGGGGTATTTGTTCTCCCAGGAGCCCGAGCCAAATGCAAATACGGTGAGTGATAGAAACCCTGTCTTTTCCCTTCCTTCTGCAGGTTCTGAGTGTGGTAGGCGGGGCACTTTTCTGGGTGCTGGAACCACAATGTAACAAGCACACACTTTGCAAGCATCCCTCTTCCAGATGAGGATCTGAGGCCCAGGGAAGATAAAAACCAGTAAGTAGGGGAGCAGTGACTTGTTCCCTGCCACCCCAGCACTGGGTCCAATTTTCCAATCACTACAATTATACTGCCTTTCTGCAAAATCAGATGTGAAGGAAATTTTCTTTACCCGCATGTTGCATCTGATGCAGTTAGATTGTATGATTTCTGGGGTTTGTGTCATATTATGTAAGTTAAAAGACTTACATAAACAATGTCTCATAATATCTTTCAATTTCAAGGTTTGATGCTTTGTATTTTTAAATATTTTCTCCATTAGGAACGTACACAGGTATAAGATATGAGGCTTAAATAGCTTGCAATTGGGTCTGACCATAACCCCAAACCATTTATTAAACAATACATCTTTTCCCTAATGATTGCAAATGCCACCTTTCCATACACTAAGTTCCCGTATGTATTTTGATGTGTTTCTGGAATGATACATACAGAGCTCCTTGCTGTGAGCGTGTAACTTGCATCTGACTGGACTGGTATAGCAGTCTTGCTGGGCTTGAGCTTCCCAGAAAAGTTCCTATACATTAGGTCAACCTAAGCCATCAGGGACCTGCCTTGTTTGTTCACTGAGATTCCATCAGTAACTTCCAGGAACTGTCTTTCTTATATCCTGGCCAGACAGGAATATTAGATGGGAGTTTAGGGGAATTAAGACTCCCACTTCAGCTGTTTCCTACACTAAAGCACCTCTCATTGCCCTTCTGTAATTCTGCATTGCTCAGTATTTAGTACTAGACAGACTGGAGCCAATTCCAAAGGTACATGACCAAATAAAACCGAGTGAAGGACTGACTTCGTCAATGTTTTATTCAGTTAAAAATCCACTCCCACTATACACTTAGATAAAGTTCATGTGAACATAAAATAATCACTCCAGTCACTTTTCCATTCATAACTTTATCTGTACCTTGATTTTTTTCTACCCTTACCTCTCTACCATCACTTTAACTCTCTCTGAAAGCAATTACTGTACTTAAATGCCTGTGTGAACTGATATAAGATATGTTGCATGCCACACTCTTCACCCAAATTATGGTATAGGGTTTCTGGTCTGCTCCCGGTTATTATAAACTCTCCTTGTTATTACTGAGCTTTCCCTTAACTGTATTGACACCTTTGCAAATAGATTCAGTGTTTCTTCTCATTCCTGCTCTCGTAAAAAACAGGGAATTATAAGCCTCATATACTTTGATACTGAAAAGAACACATAAAACCCCTATTCTTTGATTTAGCTCAAGCTAATAATGTATCATGTTAACACCAGGGTTTGCATTCTGTAATTAGATGTTGTCAAAGAAGAACATAAGGAAGGATAAAAGATTTATTAATTCTGGTAAATGGGAAGACAGGTCTGTCCTCTGTAGAACAATTTAGATCAAGTGGAAAGGGTGGAGCTGAAAATGTCTTTCATATTCAAATAATGTAACACCCAACCTATGTTAAGGTGAAACCCAGCTTCTATTTGTTTTGTCTTTTGACATCTTAAATTTTATTATTATTATTTTTTTAATTTTAGAAATAATAATCCACTCTTGGTTGATTTTACTTGTTACTTGGAAATATGACTATACTAATATATAATGTATGGAAAATTAAAGTATTGTATTTAAAATGTTTTTATCATATTTTGTATTATGAAAACAAAACTTATAAACCCCTTTATTTGTATAAACATGATTTTATTGTACATCTTGTGACACATTTTCCCAGCTAAGAAAGATCATTCTTACCTAAGTTTTTTTTTTTTTTTTTTTTTTTTAAAGAGAGAGTGAGAGAGGAGAGAGAGAGAGAGAATTTTTTTAATATTTATTTTTTAGTTCTCGGCAGACACAACATCTTTGTTGGTATGTGGTGCTGAGGATTGAACCCGGGCCCACGCATGCCAGGCGAGCGCGCTACCGCTTGAGCCACATCCCCAGCCCCTTACCTAAGTTTTGATGATGAGAAAACTGAGTCTCAAAGAGCAATATCCTACCCATGTTCTCTTTTTATTGTTGTCGTTGGTGGTGTGCAAATTTTATTTTTAAAGTGCTATGAAATAATGAATTGCTGAGTTCATTTAAGGACTCTTTTTCTTATTAATGGGATTAAACTGGCTTCAAAAAGTCCTTTAAGAACCAATGCATCCTGGGTGAGTGATCAAATGCATTCTCAGAACTGGGATGTTTTGATGCTTCAATTTCATCCCATTTTGCAGCTTCAGGTTTTGAAGTATCAAATTCCCGTATCATATCAAACTCAAACAGTGGCTGACTGCACTTCTGACTTTCTTTCATGTGTTCTTTAGTTACGCAAAGATCAAATATAATTCCTTTAATATGCAAATCTTGGCATTTCCAGTGTTTGGACCAGGACTTACAAGGCCTCATTTTTACTTTTAGCTCATTAACAGACCCTCTTGATGAGGCTCTGATAGCGCCGGTTTCATCTTCAAATCTAAAGTGTGGTTTTCAAGAAGGGCATGTTGTCAGTATCCTAGGCTACCATCTGGCATTTCTCTAAGTTGACCACTTGGATCTTATAGATTTGAGGATTATACAGGTCAAAAATTTTTTTCAACAGCATGTCCTTCAATATGATCCCTCAGGATAAAAGCAACACCAAGTCCTTTTCCTGATGTCTGAATGCATATCCCCAGAAACTGGCTGGTGATTCCATGGGCACTTGGGCTGGCTGTGGTAAAACGTAGACTATGCTTCCAACATAGAACTGGAACGTGGAGCAAGCTCTTCTTCATTGTAACATATTTTCCCTCTCTATTGGAAATTTCAGGATTTGTTTTTTCCCATGGAGGAATAAATTCCAACTCAAGAATGCCAGGAGACAGGGGCAAGCACAGGGAGCAGGACCCTGTGGGCTCCGACGCTCTGACCCAGGTCGATTGCAGCCCCACAACCCCCTGCAATGCAGGCTGCCATGTTGGCTTCCCATGTTCTCTGAGCAAAGACCAAGAAGGTGAGGGGAGCCCCAAACGAGAGAGCCAAATGATTTTACAACGATATAGAAACCTCAATTACTAAAGAAGCTGAAACGAGGAAGGAATTTCAGTCAGGAACTTCTAAAATTTTGAGCACCTATAAATAAAATTTTAAATGTTTATGGGGAAGTTGCCATGAAATCCGTAAATTTCCAGAAGTTTTGATTTAGAAGGTACATTTTGTGTTCTGAAGAGACTTTTATATTTAGAAAGGAAGGAATGGAGGGTGGGAGGGAAGGCACTGGAAATTTATTTATACTAGTCATGGAGCATACTGGAAGAAATAATTCAGTCAGGTGAAACACAGGTGCCTTCACGATGTTCAACAAATCGAATTTTAAGGGACATTATTATGGTTTAGCTTAGGTATCCCTTAAAAGCTCATGTGTGAGACAAGTCAAGAAAGTTTAGCAGTGGGATGATTGGGTTATGAGAGTTTTCACCTAATCAGGGCCTTAATCTCCAGGTAGGGATTAGCTGGGTTGTCACTCCAGGCAGGTAGGGTGTGACTTGGGGGTTTATATTTTGTTTTGGTGAGGGGAGTGCGATTGCTCTCTCTCTCTCTCTCCTCCCTGGGGCCATGACCTGAGCTGTTTCTCCTTCTGCCAGGATGTTCTGCCTCTGTCATGCACAGAGCAATGGAGTTGGCTGTCTAAGGACTGAGACCTCTGAGACTGTGACACATAAACTTCTCCTCCTCTAAATTGTTCTGGTCAAATCTTTGGTTCACAGCAACAGAAAAGCTGTCTAACACAGACCTTTGAAAGATATACCAAAGCTTCATTTTAAGTTATAAAGGACAATAAAACTGTTTTATACATTTTTCCTACCATTCTGTCAAAGAGAACACTATGCTAAGATATTGTTCTGGCCCAGAGTAATATCTCAGTAACAATAAAAATCATTTTGAGAACCCATATTATGTGACAGGCCTGTGTTAACTGTGTTATGTGAATTAGGTCCTTCAAACAATGTGATGTGTTATTCCTAATTCCCAGAGAAATAAATAAATCTTGAGGCCTAGAAAGGTTGATAAGTTCTCAACTATGCCAGATTCCTCAAAAAACCAGGAATGGAACCACAATTTGACCCAGCTATCCCACTCCTTGGTACATATCCAAAGGATTTAAAATCAGCATACTACAGTGATGCAGCCACATCAATGTTTACAGCAGCTCAATTCACAATAGCCAAGATGTGGAACAAACCTAGGGGACCTTCAACAGATGAACGGATAAAGAAAATCTTTGTGACATTTGCCAGTAAATGAATGGATCTGGAGATGATTACACTAAGTGAAATAAACCAATTCCCAAAAGGTAAAGGTCAAATGTTTTCTCTGATATGTGGAAGCTAACCCACAATAAGAGGGTGGGCAACAGAAGTTCGATAGATCAGATAAAGGGGAGTGAAAGGAAAAGGAAAGATAGTGGAATGAATATGGCATAACTTTCCTACGTAGCTACATGAATACACTACAGTGAATCCCACCATCATGTACATCCACAAGAATGAGGTCCTATTTAGAATAAAGTGTATTCCATGCTTGTATAATTATATCAAAATGTATTCTATGTTATGTATAACTAAAAATAAACTGGTAAAAATAATCTGATAAAAATAATTTCTCCCATGTTGTAACAAGAAGCATCTAGTGCAGTCCTGATTCCAACACAGGTGGTGAATCAAGAGCCCCTGCTCTTAAGCATGCTCGCCTGCACTTGGAGAAAGATGGGCCTTGGGGTGAAGTGATACATAAACACACATGCACAATCAAATCATTAACAAACCAGGGGATTTCAATATCAGGAACTGGCTGTTTATTGAGAATACACAGAAACAACACTATGTGAGATCATCACAATTAGTGTACACTTAAGTGGAAGGCATTGCTTGTCTAAAAATAGATGCAATTGGGGCTTGGGTTAAAATCTTTTACCCAAGGTGTTTACATCTGTTATTTCCTGAATGATCTGAATGCAACTCTGAATGCTTGTCAGAAGAAGGGTTGGCAGGCAAGAGTCTTATTTTCCCCGTCAGTGGCTGGCCATGTATTTCATGTGTCTAATAAAGGCATCCACCCTGTGACAGGCTTTCCAGAAAGAGATCAGCAGTCAGGGATGGCACAGCACATGGGGCGGGGGCAGGTGGAGATGACACAGGTGGGGCGATAGCAGGTGGTGTGGCAGGAGACATTGCCACAGACTGGACGCAGGCGGCAGCAGGTCTGGCAGCAGCAGGAGTCACAGGAGGGGCGGCAGCAGCTGGAGATGCAGCAGCAGGGGCGGCAGCAGCTGGAGCCACAGCAGCTGGACCCACAAGAGCAAGAGGGGCGGCAGCAGCTGGACACACAGCAGGGCCTGCAGCAGCTGGAGCCACAGCAGCTGGGGCGGCAGCAGGTGGTCCTGCAGCAGGTGGTCTGGCAGCACCTGGGCTGGCAGCAGCCATAGCCCTGGCCAGAGCAGCAGGAGCCACAAGAGGAGTTGCACATGGTGTCAGAGACTGGAGGTTCTGGGTGGGTTTCCAGGAGGGTGAAGTTCTGGAGTTTAGAAGTTGTCTTCTGCCTCTGCCTCTTATATACCGCCCGCTTTCCTGTTGTTGATGTAGTTTCCTTGTTTTTCATTTCCTGAATAGCCAAGTAATTATCCGATTACATAATGATGTTTGTCTATTTAATGGGTTAATTTGTTAGGAACACAATTTTCTGTCGGGTAGTAGCAAACTCTACCCATCTGTTTTTCCTTTGGACCCCACTTGTTGACGTCTTCCAGACCACAGTCTCTTCGACTCCCCCACCGAGGACTGGCACCTGTCTGGAATGACACTCTTCACTCTCTCTTCCAGAATCCCTTGTCACCATGGGAGTCGGTCAGTCACACTTTCAGTTGTGCATTTCTTCCACTGATGGAGAGGAAGCCCATCGGCTTCATATGTCATCTGCTGGGACAAGAGGTTTGGCCCTCTAGGTGGGTCACTGTTCAGCAATGAGGAAGGGGACTGCTCCAGGTAGGTGTGATGCTGGTGACCTCTGCACCCCTGGAATGGGTTTCTCCGGATGTTTCAGACTTCAGATCATGCGCTACAGCCTTCAGTGCTGACAGGCAATTTCTCTGTGTGGTTAGTGTCACAGTTTCTTAAATTTCTACTTTGAGGTCTTATATGTCTATATGTCTCTCCAGCTGCTCTCTTAAATTCTGGAACACACAGCCTCATTTTTATTTCTCCGTTAATTTTCATTTCATCAGTGGAGGAAAGTATTTTGAATATGAATATTCATCTCTTCAGAACTTACTTCCAGAGCAACTTCTTACTTCTGAGAAACCCATGACACAAGTTTTTTTGAGTCAATCTAAAATGTCAGTGAATTTTAGCAAATTTCACCTTATTGTATTATAATTTCACTTATCCTCTATTGAGTGATAGTTTAACTTGCACATGTATCAAAATCATCCAGAGGGCATATGAAATACAGAGTGCAGGGCTGACTCCCAGAATTTCTGATTGTTGGTGGGAGGCTCAGGCCCTGCTTTTTAGCAAGTGCCCAAATGCTGTTAATACTAAAGACCCGCTGGGCACTGCGGTGCACACCTAAAATCCCAGTGACTCTGGAGGCGGAGGCAAGAGGACTGAGAGTTCAAAGCCAGCCTTATGAACTTAGCGAGGCACTCTTAACAACTCAGCGAGACCCTGTCTCTAAATAAAATGCAAGAAAGGGCTGGAGATGTGGTTCAGTGGTTAAGTACCCTTGGGGTCAATTCCCGGTACCAAAACAAACAAACAAAAACCTGAAGATTCAAGGACCAGGCTTAGACTATAGCTCACACTGTCCATTAAAGCTTTGCAAAACCCACCTAGATCAAGTTCCTGCCTTGTTTCTAAAATAAATTGGTTGAATAGATCATCTGTGAGGCACATATTGGTGTTAGAAATATGATTTAGAGTCTCCTCCCATGGGAATTCACAGTGTACGGGGAGGACCACACACCCACATAATTGTAGTAGTGTATGGTGAAGTAACATCAAAGAGCTCATGACAGTGTTATTTCACGAAAATAGTTTTGCTTAGAGCAAATTAGCTAACATGCAATTTGGTAGATATATTCCAAAATTAACATTTCTTGTCAATCTTCATGTTGTGTGATCAAATAAAATTTACATACAGTGAAGTATACAACTTCTGAGTGTACTACAGTTCTTGCTGTTTGTTTTTTTGTGATACTGGGGATGGAATACAGGACCAGGTGTCTGCGAGGCAAGTCCTCTGCCACTGAGCTACATTTCCAGCTCCTGATGTGAACTATTTGGTTTTGATAAATGAATGCATCTGTGTAACTTTCCCACTGATCAAGATGGAGAACATTTTACATGACTCTAGAAGTCTCCCAAATGTCACTTCAGAAAGCTCCAGCAACATAGAGGCAGTCCAGTGTTGTAATACTTTTTCTTCATGATTTAGTTTTGTTCTAGAATTGAAATAAATTATACGGAGGATCATTTCTTTTCTGTCTTTAGATTGGCATATGTCTGGGAGAGTTTCTGTGTTGGTGGGTGGATAACTCACCAGTTCAAGCAATACTAATGAACACCAAGATTTCATTTTAATGATTCCTAACAAAGTAGATCATACGGTGATCAACTGAACTGATAACCTAGGACTTATGGAGTTCCCAGAAATCAGGACTCTCTCAATACAAAAAAGTAGGAAAGTACAAGGAATATAGAGACAAAGTTTTCATCCTACAATGACATCTTTAAATTAATTAGAACAATTTAAAGAGAAAACCCCTTGTGACATTTTTATCACATGAACATTCCTAGATTTATGTTTGCAAACCTAGAAAACAGGAAACAAAACAATCAGGTGCTGAGGCCAGATTGCATGAAAAAATGTTTTTGAAGACCACCGGTGCTGAGATTAGGAACATGGGTGTCTTAGACTGGGTGCCCCCTGGAAAAGCAGAGGATCCAGAGCAAGTAGTTTACTTGGTAGATAATGCCAGGAAACACTGTAGGGAATTTGGGAATTGATCCTGGCCAGTGAGAGAAGGCCATAGAGAGTAACATAATGAGCGGAACACTCCTGGGGGCAGCTAAGGTCCAGTCCCACGGAGGACCTTTGGAGGCCTGGAAGGACTCACTCAAGGGAAATTTCACTAGAGTATCTGTGCACCACTCACTGGTTGAATTCTGTTCCTAGAAGTTCTTAACCCTTCTGCCCAGAGCTTGCTCTGCATCCAGAGAAAGTCCTTAGGCAGGAGATACAGGTTTTGGTCTTGAAAGCATCTCTCTGCATCAGGAATGCTCACAGAATAGAGACTGAGCACCTCAAATTACTTGCTAGAATCCTGTTCCTTAGAAATGAATTACAGAAAAATAGACAGTAAAAATGATAATTGAAGAGGAAAAATAAGGAGACACGATGCCCTTATTTTTGTATGGCTGCAAAATTCAGATTTATTTAAGATGCAAGAATATCTTCAGATAAGAAAATATGGCAGAGGGCAAACATTTACAGAGGGATGACATGATAGTTGACAGGTTTTAGAGAAAATTCAAACTTGGGTTCAGTTGAGAGAGAGACAGTAACCTGTAGGGAAGAGGGGAGTAGTTTGCAGATCCAAATCGGTCTCAGCTGGGACTTGACCTCTCATGACTGGGCTCGCAGATAGACCACGTCAAGAATATTAGCTGAAGTAGGTAGGAGAGTGCAGGTTAGAGCACTCAGCAGCAAGATCCACTAGAGCAGGCTGGACAGCAGCAGGAGGGTTAGCAACAGCTTGGGCGGCAGCAGCTGGACACACAGCAGCTGGGGCGGCAGCAGGTGGTCCTGCAGCAGGTGGTCTGGAGGCAGG